CTCTATAACAATAATTACCCCCCCAAAAAAGAGAATGATTTCCATTGTGATGCACCTTAAAGTTCACGTCCTCTTTGAGTCTGTGTTAATCAGAAACAGGAGTTTTAAAATATTGTTTCTGGAATATCCAGATCTGAATATGTAAAAATGTGCCCACTCTGACCTCCACAAGATCCAAAATGCATATGTGTGGTTGCTGCAGCAGCATGTTTGCATGTTTTTTTTTTTTTTTTACAATTTCCATCTGATGAATAAAGCGAGTGTGATCTCATACATCTAATAATCATTTGTGCTTGGATGCAAATGGAAACTTTTGGGTACCTCGCATTTGGTCGGGGATGTTTAAAAAGCATCTTGATCCAAATATTGCAGCCAAAGCCAGCTAAAATCTGACTTTTTGCTGGAAAGAAACTGTGTRTTTTGGCCAGTTTGAGACATTGTTCTAAAGACTTTTAAATCATAGCCATTAATATAAATTTTCTTTCATCAAAGCAAGTGTCCAGTTCTTGACATAGGTTAATTGTGTTTTTTTAAATCTTTTTTTCCTCACAGATCCAGAAGTTCAAACCATGTTATGTTTAAGAGCTTTAGAAATTAATAACAACCGGTACTGCAAGACAAAAAAAAGTGACGTGCTGTTGCTGTAGAGACCGAGTTCAGACATTTGTTCGAAATGTAAAAACAATCTTTCATTATTTCCTGAAGGTTTTGTTTTAACTAAACGGTGCAAAGATTTATTCTGCCACCACACCCTCTTTGTCTCCTGTCTCTCTTGTTAAACTGTCTCCTCCTTTCCCTTCGAGCTCAGTCAGTCGTTTTAACGAGCTCTGTGTGCTTTTGCCTGGTCAATCAGGAACAGTTAATAACTTTAAAAGGAACACGCTCATGTGCAATTAAAGGCTCTCTGAATATTTACAGCCTGYTTGGACTCAAAATGTAGTTTATGTTTGAACGGTATCATTGTATGAGCGAGGCAGCTGTGTCCTGCAGGTTCTCTTCTCTGACATTTTAGCAGAAACTAAATCATTTCTTCAGTCACACATCAAAGCAAGAATAAACTTGAACAGGTTTTTATATGAAAAGTTAAACTGAAAGAAGCAGCTTGGATTTTAAATACAGCCCTTAACGCACCAAATTTTGTCTTGCCAGGTGATGTGAAATGAATGCATTCTATTTCTCAATGAAAATCTGTGAATAAAAGATGACAAAATAAACCATAGAATAATGTGTGCACCTTTGCTTGCAAAGTAAARTCACTCCTTTCCAATTAATCCTCTACTAAAGCATCAATTTACTGGTGGAGTGCAGCATTTATAGTTCACATCAGTTTAAGCCTGTTCTGGTGTTTAAGTAATCCTTTCTATGGCGCAATATGAGGGCCAAAATTAAGACTATTGCACAACCGGCGATTGCTACATCCTTGTAGAAGGAGGCTATAWCTATTCCTAAGCCAGCTATTGATTTGATCAATGACGTGGCTCCGATACAGCGCTGGTTAATGAGGAGACTATTTATTTGTGTTAGGATCAGAGAGGCTATCGACCAGATAAGCTGGTGTTAGCATTGGTGAGGCTAGCAACTAGCATGCCTAGGTGGCTCACCTACTTTAGATACAAATTCTGTTGAATAAAGAAAAAAATTTCACCAAAAATGGTTGGCATACAAAACCTTATAAGCGACATGCACTGACAGGTGTTCCTTAGACAGAATTTACTATTCATCATGACGTCAAGCAAAAAAATTAAACAAAACATATTCMTGTGAAGCAGACAGCTTTAGTTAGCACCTGAATTAGCATCTGCGCTCTTTTAAGGGCTCGGCACACGAGAGGCGACGTCGCTCGCTCTCCATTCATTTCCTACAAAACTTGGGCGATGAGGCGACAATCGCTCACCCTCCTCCAGCCAAGCGACCTGCAAAAATTGCGCATGTGAAATTTTGCGCTTGTACACAGATGTGCACACGTGAGCTTGCAACACAACGTTGAAAYGTATGAAAGTTGAAAAATGTTCAACTTTTGTCGCTGTCGCTTGGCGTACAACCAATCAGCGAGGGTTTCATTGACTGACCAATGAGCAGAGAGTATGCTACACACTGCAGTTAGCTAACACTTTCATTCATATTATTTTAGCTCTATCAAACTTTACAGTTTGATATAAACCTTCACTAAGTGATTATTAAAAAAGGCAGCTTTATGGGAATTTATTGGTTCCAGGGTGAAGTTATCCGGTAAGTTTTTCCTCGTAAAATCGTATCCTGGCATGTTTGTTTATCAACATCATTAGCATTGCAAGCTTTGTTTAGTATACATGTCCGTAA